AACCAAATCAACAGTTGATAAAGGTTTTTGAAAAAAAACGAAGAACTTTACAAAGAAATATAATCTTTGTAACAAACTAAAAGACGAAAATAGTTAAAAAATTTTATTTTAGAAATTTCTGTAGAAAATAATAAAGTGCTTGCTTTTATAATATGGTTTGGCAACTGTCAATAATACTCATATTTGTTTAATTTATGTAAATATTACGCTAAGAAGATTTTTGTTAGATGACGTCGTCTTAGATTTCTTAGAGTATTCGTATGAATTAGGTGTTGATACCATTTATCTACACCTAATTCGTCAGGGGTGGGTCTGCAGATATGCAGACTCACCCCGGGCGAATTTCGAAAGATGTTTGTTTTCGGATTCGATGATTCATTTCGGACATATCGGGTTGCAAAGTACTGAATTTCTCTAACATTTTGTATAAGAAAATTTCAAAAACATTTTGTAACAATGAAATTTTGCAGCAGTTCAGTGTCAGATTGTTGAGATGCGCTTTCCACTACCCCATAATGGAGAAGATAGAATCCGATATATCAGGACATTTATTAAAATATCTAATATAATAAATTCATATATCTAATATAATAATATATTAATATAATAAAATATAAAATAAATAAATTAAAATAATTAAAATATCAGAAATCAATTGTCTATTGAGTATCTGTGCCCATTATCATTGAGTGATAAGCCCTTACTATTATCTGCCTCATGGTTATAGATATTTTTATTAATTTAATTATACCTAGGGCTAAAAGCAATTTCTGTAATAACTTTAAAGTATTTGAGATTCCCACCCGAACTCGAACTCGGATCCATTAAAGTACTGTATAAGTATAATTTTAAAACTTCTTTATTTCTCTACTGTACACAATTTTTAAAAATTTTTAATTGTCAAAAGACTAAATTAACTTAAAAGGATTGCATTGAATTGATTAAATACCAATTACAAACTACAGTTGAATTTACCTTACCTACAGTTGAAAAGAAGAATTAAATTCCTGCTTGCGACCCACTTATTTTTATATCTATAGACTATATACAAAATAAAATATCTGTATGTCTGTCTGTCTTCTATACCCTTATAATCTCTTTGACCGAACTGCATCAAATTTTTATAGTTACTCTTCAGGATTCTGCGGAAAATATAGTGCTACCATAAAACCTGGACATCCCACTTCCTCCCCTAATTTCCCCTAATTCCCTTGACCCTTCGTGATAAGCATAACAATTGAGGCTAAAATAACGTAACTTTTAATATTGTTTTTACAATATTTTAAAATTTGTCCTTATTACTTTGTGCTTCGGCATGTGTAATAATAATAATATAATTGTTGTGTAATACCTTTAAACTGCCACATAGTGTTGTAATTCTTAGAATTCCTTTCGTAAGAAACATCATTTCTCTCACCTGAAATTAATTAATTAATATTTTTTATATAAGCAAATTTATCAAATATTTAGGTTATTTCATTCTTGTTTAACAAAATAATTTCATCACCTCGTCTATTTTAAAAGGACATGTTTTCGTATGAAAGCTCTAATGGGTTTAGTTCTTATCTTATTACGACTTGCATTCACTTTGTGTTTCTATAATTATATAAATTCGGATTTTATCCATTTACTTTTTACATTATGTGAACCTTTCACTCTTACGTTTTTAATTTGATAGTTTTCATGCTTTTTTATTAATGGATCTTTATCGATTTCCTTTCTTCAGTTCAGTTTTCTTTTAAAATTAATATGTCTTTCATATTTTTCCATTTCTTCAATTAGAAGTAAAAAATCTTTTCGTTTAGTATAGATTTCTCTATTTATATATAAAATTTACCTAGATGTAATTTAAATATATAATATCGTAGCTATTATTATTAGTATTATATTTTGTATAATTGAGCGGAGCGAGGCAGCGCTCTCTTAGTTAACGGTCAACCCCTTCGAAACAGCTTAACAGATTTAAATAAATTCTTGCATACAAATAGAATTCACATCGTTCTACGCCATCACGCAAACAGAATTTTAAAATTCGACCTGTAACCGGAGATATACAAGGTCAAAGTTCACAATGTTAAGTCTATGGGCGAGTGGAGCGAGGTTTCCGGCTAAGACAGGGAATCTAATATGTATATAAATATATTTATTATTTATATTATATCATATTATATATACAGTATTTTATGTTAATTTGAAGATAAAAATGTCGTTAAATGTTTTTAAAAATTGCTTAATTAATATCAGGAATTTAAAATAATTTACTGTACATTTTACTGTTTAAAATTACACATACAAAATTTATACTTCACTAATGGAATTTCAACTTCAAATAACAAAGAAAATAGACTTATAATAAACATTGATATAATTAAATTTAACTAAGTAATAAACTTAATATTTGTGTCTTTATAGAATAAATTTACATTAAAAAGTTTTGCAAGAAATTTTTAATTTATCCATTAATTTTTCTTAAATAAGTAAACACAGACGTCTCAATTAATTTACATTTTAATTATTAAATATATTAAATTAATCTATCAAATGCATTTTATTTACTTTGCTTGCACGAATTGATTGCTGCAAACATCATCTAACTTTTACGTCAAGGAGCATCTTTAAAATATTCCGCATTATATATAGATTTAAAATGAAAATATTTGACAGTTTGTTAATATTCTGTACCATTTGATGAAACTATTGAAATTTAATTTCATTAACTAAGAAGATTATTTAATATACTTAAAATTAAGTCATGTACAATAAATTACTAGAGAGAGAGGAAGCGAGTGGGTGGTTGCTGTTTAGTTTTGTGAAGGAATTATAATTTTATATATAGTTTTACGTAGTTCTGAATTTTCTATACATAGAATACATTTTCTATAACTAATATTATAAAGCCATATGTTGTTTTTGCAGTCACTTAATTAATTTTTATTGCAGCCTATTGCCGGCCTATTGCATCCTTTCATTCCTTTTTATTTCATCCTATTGTCGGTCTATTGCAATCCTTTCATTCTTTTTTATTACAAATGTACTTCATATTTACAAAATTGCTCTTAGCAGATCTCTTTTGAAGCTATAAATTAATTTGCTGTTAGAAACTTAACTAATTTTATGTCTTTATAATGGTATGGGCCGAACCCTCTACAATAAATATGAATAAGCATTATTTGAAGATGCTTAAATAAATTTAACAATAAAATTTATTTACACCATAAATAGAACATTCACTCCATAATACATTTAAGTTTAATTTTCGATCTGATAAAATTTAACATTTCATCTGTTGTAATGAAATTGCTTAAATTTCATTTCAGTTTTCAACTGACTGATACGATGATACAATTTATCAATCAATCTCCTGTTATGTAAGACTTTGATTTCCATTCGGAAAATTTTTAATTAAATCCTTATTTTTGTAATTAAATTGAATTTTTAAAATATTGTTTTATTGATTATTCAGATATACAGGATAGTCCAAATTAGTTAACTCAGTCAGCTGGCATTCGGTTGACTAACTTTTGGTCATCTGTATTACGACATTTCTACTCATACGGGATATTCGATTGTCGTTTTAGAAAGATCTGAAGAGCCATAATTAATATCATCTAACAGAAAAATACAGAATTATCGTTAAGACACAGGAAAATAAAACTTTGATATAATTTAACCGTTAATATATTAATGATTTATACATGTATTAAGTATTTACTACGTTTACTGCACACATACCTACACACACATATAGGGGAGATCGGGGCAACTTATTATATAATTAATACGCTAATTATCAAACTCATTTCTTGAAATACTTGTAAGAATTAAATATAAATTCAAGTTGATTGATACACAAAACAGATTTTTATTAATTTCTTATTAGTGTGACAAGTAAGAAAGTCGAATATATAAAATTTTTATATGATAATTTTAAAAATTTTTAATTGTCAAAAGACTAAATTAACTTAAAAGGATTGCATTGAATTGCTTTAAAATATATATGAAATGTGAAGTTGATTTTGAAAAGAATTTTGAATTATAATTACATAAATATTTTATCAGTGTTTAATTATAAACAAGTTTTAATAATAATAAAAATGTCGAAGATTCATCCTATTATGAATATATTTGATTTATTGTAAGTAACTAATTAACAAATGATTGTTTACACAAAACAACAACAATTTTCTGAAAATTTTATGACAAAGTGTAAACAGCTTAATGTATTTAAATTAAAATCATAAAAATGATATGCAACTTATTTTAATAAAATAAATAACATTGTTTTATTCTATTATAATACAAAATAATTTTTTATAAATTTTTAAATCAAATATGCATGTTTATATCGTTTAATTAATTGTTTAAACAAAATTACGTAAATGTTATAATTTATTTAAAAATTTTAACGTTATCAAAACATTTTTATAATTGTCCACATTATTTAATATCGTGTTTGCACTTTTTGTATAAATAAAGAAAGAACTTTACTTATTACAAGTGTTCTGAAAGAAAATTTTATAGGACAAAATTCTTTTTAAAAACATTTATTTGAACTAAGTGAAATGTAAACATGTAATTCTTTGTAACAATAATTCTGCATTTGTATTTCTGTTTAAAAACTTTTGAAATTTGGAGGTAAAGTAAACTGTTTTTAAGATCTAACTTGGTGTAGACCCTTTGCATAAAAATTACGAGTTACAAAACTTATAATACTTGCAGCTTGTTACAAAACTTACTATTACATTTCGCTCATAATTTGTAACTTGTAAAGTTTATAACAAATACAAACCGGTCCAGACTCCGCTAATTTATCGAGGGCAAAACTAATCGTGCCGCGACGCTACTCTTGCTAGTTAATCCTATTGTATATAAGAGCGGTTTATTATGGACTGATAGGCTAAATCAACAATAGTAAATACAATTTTGAGTGATATATTTATTTCCGGTTTTATTCCGTAAACAAAAAATATAAAGTAAAGGAAAGAAACTGAACGTCCATCTATTGATAATCTGCCAGTGATTGGATTATTCACACTGAATACCATTTGTCGCTGGTTCACACCTGATTTCTGGCTGGTCATGTGAAATTTTTTGGGTTTTCTTTACGTATCTAATACCTGAATAGAGGCCAGTTCCCATATAAAGTCTTCTCGGGAGGCATCCCCTTGACAGGTCGACCACGTGTTGCATTGCCATATCCCATCAAATGAAGCCTAACCAAATCAACAGTTGATAAAGGTTTTTGAAAAAAAACGAAGAACTTTACAAAGAAATATAATCTTTGTAACAAACTAAAAGACGAAAATAGTTAAAAAATTTTATTTTAGAAATTTCTGTAGAAAATAATAAAGTGCTTGCTTTTATAATATGGTTTGGCAACTGTCAATAATACTCATATTTGTTTAATTTATGTAAATATTACGCTAAGAAGATTTTTGTTAGATGACGTCGTCTTAGATTTCTTAGAGTATTCGTATGAATTAGGTGTTGATACCATTTATCTACACCTAATTCGTCAGGGGTGGGTCTGCAGATATGCAGACTCACCCCGGGCGAATTTCGAAAGATGTTTGTTTTCGGATTCGATGATTCATTTCGGACATATCGGGTTGCAAAGTACTGAATTTCTCTAACATTTTGTATAAGAAAATTTCAAAAACATTTTGTAACAATGAAATTTTGCAGCAGTTCAGTGTCAGATTGTTGAGATGCGCTTTCCACTACATGACTCTGTAAACACTTTTCAGTCAAGCGCGTGCCATGCGTAGCTATGATTTGCATGTGAGTTCCATTAATGAGATTCTTACGAAATCCTCTCGAGGTGAACGGTTTCTTTCGCCATCGATTGACTTGAAAGATCGATGCAATTGTTGTTCTTCGGCGGAACATAAACACTGCAAAGGGTCTCATCAAGGGAAGTGGCATGCAAATCATATCAATTCATGGTTACTCGCTTAAAAGCAAAATGCTGACAGGATCAAGTAGCGGACAGTGCATAAAGTTCATTTCATCGGATACTACTCTTCTTTAAAAGATGTGTCGCTATCAGTATCCAGTAACTCGCGCATTTGCCATGACGATTGTCAACAGGGGACAAGACCAATATCTTTGCAATGTAGCGGTCTACCTTTTTTCTCCTCCTGTCTTTGCTCAAAACTTTACGTTTCTATGAATTGTTCACGATCCTTTGATGGCTTAAAGATATTCATTGAGAGTCAGAGTAGCCAGAAGGACTTGGGTCCTATTGGATTTAGCATCTTAAACGTGGTATACAAAATAATTTTGTAATCCAGTTTTGTGCTTGGGTGGTGAGAGCATTAAATTTCTCGTAATCCAGACTACAAGTAAGTTTTGGTAGACATTAAATTTTAATTTTTAATTCCAAATTAACTTTTTATATTTAAATGCTTTATTCTATGAGTACCGTCTGCTAGTGTTGTATATTTTAAAATTAATGTTATGAAATTACCCTATATGAAATAATTAAGAATACCCATAAATTTAAATTTGTATACATAAACATTACATGAGCGCATATTTGACTTGTGGGATTTTTGTTTCAATATTTTAATGGTGTAAATAAGCAAAATTATTTTACATTAAATTATTACATCTAAATTAAAATCTTATTTTATAATCTAATACATGTAAATAAAAATGAAATATATGTTATTGTGACATCGTCAGAATTCTGGACTGCAATTTTTTTCATTTAATTTGAAAAATCACGTGACTTCCGGTTCGGGACGGGAAGTATATATACAACTAATCGGGCCTTTGGACACTATGCTTTCCATAGCTAATCTCAATTTTCATCTAACTCCGTTCTCGAGATTAACGAGGGACAGACGGACAGACGGACAGACGAATGACAGTGGGAGTTTATATGTTTGCATTTCTACTGATAAAATAGAGAAACAATTGAATTCCTACACATTTGTGAATGGTTTACTATGATGTCAAATGCATCATAGTAAATACACGTACAAATATGTGTATGACGCAAAAATGACGTAACTCAGACCCTTACCTTAAAATAATGATTCTTAAAAGAGGAGTGCAAGCAACCCTGGGATGTAAGATATTTTCTGGGAGTACGAGACGTGTTTAAAGATATAAGGATATATTGTTTACAAATTTTTCCTCAAACCCTTAAACTGTACTTAAAGTTAATCCCTATTGATATGAGAAAATAGGGCGATCCCATCCCCTTAAATAAAGACATGACGAATTTTTCATGTTAGTGAGAAAGAGTATTTTAAAACTTTAGTGCGATGTAGGTAGCAGAAAAGGTTAAGAACTATTGGTTTAGAGCATGAACTCCCTAAAGATAAAGGAAATATTTTAGAAATATGACCTGTTACATAACTTCCCCTTTCTTATTATGGACATTTCGAATCTGTTTTAAGATTTTAATTAAAAAACAGATAAGGAGAACGTAAAGAGAGATTTAATACGAAAATTTAGATTGAAAAAAACACTATTAGTTAATAAAATATAAAATATTACTAATGTTATTTTGAAGGAGATACATTTAATGATGCATATAACAAAGATAATACCAGTCGGCACAACTTGCAAGTCGAAAAGAATTATCTAAATTGTATTTTATGACGTAAATTCAATTAACAAACAGGAGTTAAAATTGAATATTCGCATAAATGTAATAATATTGAATATTCGCATAAATGTAATAATAAGAAAGTGCATTGTATGAATTTGGATTGAAAAACAATTCTATAAAATAAAATTAATCAACTGTTTTATTAAAAAGCTGACATCAATGCCCTGTGATTCATAATATAAACATTTTAAAAACTTCAAATACATTGATATAAATAGAAAAATTGAAGAATTTTAAAGTATATTATAGTTAAGGCTAAGACATGTAGGCACTAAAAACAGTATTAACTTGTATAATTTTTAGTGCCTTAATTATAATAAACTGAAAGCAATATATAAGGTTTTTGTTTTTTCAATTTTCAGATAATTTTAAAAAAATGTTTAATGTATTTTTTTTATAATCCTATTCAATTATCCTATAATATTTTAATAGAATTTAAATATAGTAAAACCTGAATCAAGGTTGCTTGTTGTTCTCTATTATATGTGTTTGGTTAGCACAATGTTGCTGTTGAGAACGTATCATACAGGAACACTTTAAGAGGAAAAAGGTTGCTTTATTGACTTGGACGGATATGCAGAATCATCTACCAATGGCTACACAACCCCCCTTCTCGTCAACCCAAACCAAAAACACAGGTAACTTACAAAAAGTTAGTTTATATCCCTACTATTTTTGAAAACATCCAAAAGATCTTAACACCATATAACATTATTTTAGCTCCCACACTAAACAATAAAATCAAAAATTCCTTAAAAATCAATGAACAAAGTAATAGTAACACAGACATTTTACTTAATAACAATCTAGTCTACAGCTTTGCCTGTACTTGTCATCCTAAATTCTATTACATAGGTGAAACCAGTAGAGTACTAAAAACCCGGATAAATGAACATATTAGAGCCATAAAATATAATTACATCAACTCTGCAGTTGCTACTCATTGCAACCAAACTGGCTGCGAGATCTC